CAAAAGAGTAATTGGGGGGGGTGCGGTGACTAGTAAAAGGGGGGCGGTGAATAGCGATTGAGTAAAACATTGAGCTCAGAAAAAGAAGAGAAAAAAGAAAGCAAAAGCTTATTCGACCCGGACAAAACTCGTACCCGACCCGGACCTATCAGACCCATTTGCATCCATATGATCCGGACTTCCCTCTCTACTTCAGCGTGGCATATGAACTTCCTTTCTTGCTTTATTGCCCCGCCGGTCAGCCATCTACCACCGTGGCACCGCCGTGTCAAAGCCTGCCACGCCCAAAACCCATTGCCGCCCCTGGAATCTCCATCCGTCGGGCCGGGCCAATCCAAATCCTTGATTCTTAAGCATCAGCGATTGCGAGTATCAAACAGGTTGCAGAGTACTGGTTTTAGGTAAAAATTAAGCACATCCCCTTGCTTCCCTGTCCTATTTATATCTTTTCCCCTTCCAATTTTCGCTGCCCGATCGTTTAATTTAAAAAAGAACCAACGGAAATTAGCTGGGTTGTAGCTCTATTACAGAATGGATTTGGTTTTTCCACATGTGAAAAATAAGAAACTTTCTGTATACCACCGAAAATGTGTTCGATGCATCTTTGAGGTGATGATGACAAGACATACAATCCATTTGAAGTTCATTAGTACGATTTAGTGGACCTTTTATGCGTGAGGGTTAATATTTTCCACCATGTTTAGGTTGGGATTAATTGTTGAAACTCGAATTTTGTTGAGCATTTGCACAAGGATATAGACGAACCCTCGGTTTTATGTCAATGTACTGGAATTCTCAGCTGCTGAAGATATGCTGAAGAGAGCAAAGCTTGGGCATTGTATTTTTAAGAAGCTTCACCCGTTCCCCAATGCTCTTGCTGTTTCATCTAATGCATACGGGAGTAGAGTGAGTTTTGTCCACAACAGTGCTAATAGTAGTCATGAGGCAAAATCTGAAACCGAATGGGAGCGTTTACTTAAACCCTTTGACCTTGAGGAGCTTCGTAGATCGTTCAATAAAATTACTCCATTCCAGCTGAATAAATTGCTTCAGCTTCCACTAGATGTGCACACGTTAATGGATTTGTTTCAGTGGGCAGGTAGCCAGAAGGGCTATCGTCATACTTTTGACGTCTACTATAATCTCATAGACAAATTTGGGTCCGTGAAGGAATTCAAAGTCATTGATACATTGCTTTTGCAGATGAAAGCCGAAGGAATTGTTCCAAACGAGTCCC